GTCAGACTTAAGCTTTACATCAATTAGTATGACACCAGGATATTAAGATTAGATTTTAGAAAGTTTATTGAAGTCAAAGGATTTAAGTTAGTTAATATCGAGTTGCATTCTTCAAATGATTTATTTAGAGGAATCATTTATGCTATAGAAGTAAACAGAAGGCAGGTGGAATTTATTTTAAAATAAATAAGTAATACAAGAGAGTGGAGGTATTATAAATTCAGGAATGTGACTCAAGGCTCCGCTCAAAAAGATGAAGGTTAGCCCAATGATTTTGATTTACAAAAATATGGGGAAAATAAAAGGCTCTAGCTAAAGAATCAAAGGGAATATTCCACCCTAACATAAATTTAAAGAAATCCCTATAAAAATTGTTAACTAATCTATCTTTTCTTGGTTCAAGAATAGTTCGATTCAATAACGATCTCCAATTTTTACTATCACGAAAATAATCATATTCACGCCTCCCCGGCGATGTATCTCTATCCAAAATATAATTGCACTTATCAATAGGAATATATCTATCAAGCTCTTCTTTGTTCATCAAATTAAATTTTCCACCATCCTGTCTCGTTGAAGATGCGACATTGATTTGGCTTGGAATAGAAGTTACTGGATATTGGCTTGGAAGTTGTCCCTGAAAATCAGAAGGCAATAAGCCTACCTTCCAGCGATCAATATTGCCAGGAAGCAAGATTCGACCAGGAAATAAATGCCAATCTCTAGCAAGACAAAGAAAAAACCCATTTGGAGGTGGATCAGGTAAATGTCTTATTAGAAAGACTGGCGCCGAGTAGCCGAAAATGAGTGCAAGCAAACGAGAAATGCTGAGAATAATAAACATACTAATTGTGATAAAAAGGAAAGCGAAATGGACAAACGTTTTAAGGCACTGGATATGGCGTGAGTTAGAACGCCGATAAAGGAAGTTAGAAATCTGAGAAAACATGAGACCGGAACATAATGCGATAAAAGGATAGGATGGGAAAAGAAATCGTTCTTCTTTATGAGGTTGAAGGAAAAATATTGAAATCCAAAGAAGTAGTGGAGAAGCAGCAATAAAATACATTTTCAAAGGGGAGTGCGAAATTGATCCATTTTTAACAAAGGAATACTTCTTTCTATACATCAGGTTTATAATAATAATAATAGGAAGAAACAGTAGAAATATAGTTAATATATTAAGATTAAGAAAATAATTTTTAAGATAATATGAAATAGGTTCGGTTCCATACAAGTGAGAACCCGTATCAGGATTAAAAACGTTATAGATTAATATATTTAAAGTTGGAAAAGTTAAGCGTCCATAATAAAATGAATCTACGAATAGCATGGGAATAATTGAGGCGAAAGCAAAAAACGCACTAAAGGCAGCAAATATACGAACCTGATTTGTCAACAACATCTCTGCGGCTAATGGTATTCCAATAAGGGCAGAAAAAGGCCAAATTACAATAGAAGAAAAAGCGATACATCCTATTGCAATAAAATAATTATTATGTAGCCAAGCTGAGATAAAATAGCATGTGAGAGTAGAAATAATAGCACTAGGCAGGAAACTTGTTGATGAAATAAAATTTCCAGGAGACAAGGAAAGAAATATTGGGACAATAAGACAAAGAGGGATAGCGGAGTTGTTAAATATTTTACAGGTTTTGAGCAAAGAAAAAGAAAGGAAATACACAGAAAACGATGATAATGTAGAAAGATATAGTCTAACTGCTAGAAAAGCGTAAAATGAGGAACAAGTATAATTATAAATTACATAAGCTGGCCAGCCAAAAATCCAGAGGTAAAAATATGACCGCAAACGAATGTTTGGGGAGTATTCCCATGTCTGAAAGCCTCCACCGACTCCGGAAGTAATAAGATAGTGTAAGGGCTCCCAGTAATTATAAGACTCATCGCAATCGGAAATTCCGCTAAAGCAAAGGCTAAGAAGGTTAGAAAAAAGAGAAAATTTGAAAGAAAGGAGAGGAGCGGAGTATAAGGGGGAATGCATAAGTCAAAGGCGTTCAAATATATACAATGGGATAGAATAAATCTAGCTGGTAATTATAAACAAGACACGTTGCATAATACATAGTTTGAGTATTTTTAATAATTACAGATATAATCATTTTTTTGTTTAATAAAAATAATT